CAGCACCAGTAACAGCACCGGAGTCAAGTGGCGGCAGCAGCAGCAGCAGTCATTGCATGAGCAAAGATGATTCCAACTTCGGCCAAGACCACGTGTGCCAGAAAGTCCGCATGTGACACAACTGACAAGGATTCATTTCAATCGACAACTGGACGAGAAGTACGGAAGCAACAGCAATTTAGACAGTGGGACAGGTGCGACCAGTGATAAGGCATCTGAGTTCAAGGCCTGGTCTGAGTCGACGTATCCCTCCCAATCCAATGTCAGGCCAGCTCCTCCGGATGCAAAATGCTTCTTGTAATCAAGAACAAGATAAGTAAGACTCGCCTGCCCAATGCCACCAGGAAGTCGTGCTGTGCCCTGACAAAAACAAAAGTATCAGGCCAGGCAGCTGCACATGTGGACATGCCCGTCTGAGCGAGAGGCCATCGCCGAGCATGACATCCGACCCAACCTCGGGCACGGCAAATCTCTCACAATGCATGTCAGACGCAGTACTCAGTGACTCAGTACACGCCCGCACTGCAAAGTGCATTTTTCATCTCAGGCGGAAGACCACTCACCCCTCAGTCATCAGGCAGCCTCAGACTCAGTCAGGCCCATGCCCTGGAATCTTCGTCGCTGTCTCCGTCGGCCGCCTCCTGCCACTCAGACCACGATCGCCAACGCCAGCCCGAGCCGTGCCACTGCTGATTGTCAGACGACCACGCCCACTGCTGCCGCTCCTGATTGTCAGACGACCGCCACTGCTGCCGCTCCTGATTGTCAGACGACGGCTGCTGCTCAGACGCCAATGCCCTGGTGCTGCCCGTGTCAGCAGGCACGGTCCCCAAGGTCCCCGTGTCGTCGTTCTCAGACACGTCATTGTTGTCATTGTCAGACCATGGGTCTGTGGGGTCAGGCACTGGACGGGGGCCTTCTCCAGCTGTACGGTCTCGAACAGACTGGCGAATTTTTCGCCATGAGCTGTGCTCGGTTTGAAGCCAGTCAGACTTCCTCAGTCAGGGAATAAAAGTTGAAAGTGTCAGAATCGACTACATTAGTTATAAAGAACCCCCAAAATGGAAAAGTTTACTATACAGCCAACAAGTTTCTCCCTGACGTGCTTCATCACCAACTTGGAGGCGGTGACGTTGGTGAAGCTGCTGTCCCACACCCACTCGCCTGAAGTTCAGGCAATGAACAGCTTCCAGAAAAGATACCCCCCAAAGTTGAAAGACGAGCCACGTGTCAGAAGGACGGTGGTTCGATGAGCATACGCCGGGGCATTCGGGTGCGGGTGCAGCAGCAATGAGACCAGGCCCTTGGATGCAACATGCACCGCTGGAACTTTTCGCATGCTGGCACATCACATTTAATTGTCATTGTAGCTGCAGCCGAGACTCAGCTTTGGCTGCCATGTCGACGCCGCACTTGCAGCAAACCCAGAGGAGGTCAGGCGCACGGTCATGCAAAACAGAGTGCACCTTAGCATTCGCCCTTGCCTTTCAGCATGGTGCTTCACATCGGACTCGGACCAGAGGGCACTAAAGATGCAGCCGGATTGCTGCCCGGTCGGCCTCAGCCTCATGCTCGTCGTACCACTGGGACAAAGCAAAGACCTGGTTGTCAAGCCGCGGTGGTCTGCCTAAGTAAGGCAGGAAGTCATTGGCCATGGTCAGTTTACATTTCAGACATCCCACTTCAGCCGAGCGACGAGGCAGTGCACTGATGTTCATCCTGTCCTCCATGGCAAGCCTCCGCATCAGGCTTGCCCACAGAGCATGGTCCTTCTCCTGCTCCGAGAGTGCCATGGCGGCGACGATCAGCCCTTCTCCCCAAAAGTTTTGGCCTACCCTAAGGGTTTAACCCAACATTCATAAATCAGACCTGCAAGCTGCCACAACCCTGGCTTGCCATGCCATGTGACAGTGATCTTGATCCACAGCACACAGGAAAAAAGTTAAAGGCAGCACGCATGGCATCAAACACATGCCCAAATCCAGGCTGGCGAATCCACTTGACCGGGTCCCCCACAGACTCTGCAACGACGGCAGCTCGTCCACACGGTCAGGCATCCGAGACCTGTCGTGTCGCAAGTGGGCAGTCATGGGAGGCAGGGTATTTAAGTCCAAAGCCAGAGGAACCGAAGGCAAAGTGAAAGATGATCACGAAAGCACCTGAACCAGATGTTCATGGATTTCCGATTCCAGGCACTGCAGGGGCACCGGTATGCTCAGGCCGCAGCTGCCCAGACGAAACAGAAGGAGGAGTCCTTCCCAAAAGCAGTCATGGCTCTGTGCACGAAACTTTTAAAGACAAACTGGCAAAGTTGTGCAGTGAACTCGACTCTTCTTTTTGCCGCCGCACCCCGGAGATCAAGCTGTTGCAGTGGGCCCGCCATTTAGAGGGCACCCCAGGAGACGGAGGCATGAAAATCAGGCGGAATGGCCAGGTAGATCAGGCTGACACATGTAGGGTTTAGATAGGGTTTAGAATTTAGGGTTTGGCCTACCCGGACTTGCCGCCTTTTTTGGGCTCAGGCCCCTTAGCCTTGCCGGCCTTGCCCTTTCCCTTCGGAGGGTCAGTCGCTGGCGGAGGCGGTGGTGGTGGTGGAGGAGGAGGAGGCCCATTGCCAGGAGCTGAGAGGTCATAGATGTCAGGCACCTCAGTGAGATGACGTTCAATGTCAATGACGGAAAACACGAAATGTAGCATAATGACGAAATGGAGCAAGAGTGGATGCAGTCCAAGGCTCGTGGAGGCCTGCCGTCCTCATTGCATTGTGGAATGCCGCAGGGCTGTTGAGAGCCCACCATCTCAGGTAGGCCCTCTGGTGTATCACCCTGTGTATCAACACCTGGCCCAGATGTGCGCTGCGACAAATTCAAAAACAACAGAATGCCAGGTGCAGACTCCCGCCTGCTTCAGGGTCTCCTTGTGGTCGGCATTCTCAGGCACCGGACAGTTGAACGTCCCCTCCGTGAAGCGGTCCGGTGCTCCCTGCCGACACATTGATGAACTGGCTTCTCAGGCACAGGGTTTAATAAGGTCACGAAGCCCGGCCTTCACCGAGTCTCGAAGAAAGACCAGGACCGAGGCACGCGAGACGTACATCGACAGCAGCTCCTTGCTGTCCGACAGACGCTCGAACTCACACATGCCACGAAAACTCAGAGGAGTTAAATCAGCCAAGAAGCCTCAAAGGACATGCCACAATATCTTCTGGACTCAGGATCAGTCAACAAATGCTTCTTTTCATCCTTTTCCTTTTTCTCCTTTTTTTTCTTCTTGTCTTTCTTGTCCTTTTTGGACTTCTTCTTATCTTTCTTTTTCTTATCCTTCTTCTTCTTTTCCTTCTTCTCTTCTCCTTTCCCCTTCCCCCTCCCCTTCCGGCCCTTCTTGCCCTTGCCGTGCCCTTTCTCAGGCGTCAAAGGCCTCTTCAGGTTCCTGACGGCTTCCTCAGCCTTGCGGCGGTGCAAAGCCCACTCCTCAGCCGCTTCCTTCTTTTCCTGGTTCTTCTTTTCCTCCACCTCCTCGGCCTTCTTGTCGTCCTTCTTTTCCTTTTTCTTCTTTTCATCCGCCTCCTCAGCCTTCTTGTCATCCTTTTTTTCCTTTTTCTTCTTGTCATCCGCCTCCTCAGCCTTCTTGTCGTCCTTTTTTTCCTTTTTCTTCTGTTGAGCCGCCTCCTCGACCTTCTTGTCATCCTTCTTTTCCTTTTTCTTAGCCGCCTCCTCAGCCTTCTTGTCATCCTTCTTTTCCTTTGCCTTCTTTTCATCCTCCGCCTTTGGAGGCTTCTTCTCGTCCTCCTTCTTCTCCACCTTCTTGTCAGGCAGCTTCGCCTCCTTCTTGTCGTCCTTCTTTTCAGACTTCTTCTCGTCTTTCTTGTCCTCCTTCTTCTCAGCCTCCCTCAGGCTGCTCCCAGCAGCAGGTACCAACCTCAGGTGGTCATTGCTGCTCCCGGCAGCTTCTCGGGCCAGCCTTTCGCGGTTTTGCCGACGCTTTCGAACGTTCGGCTTCTTTCGCTGCTGCCTGCCAGGACACATCATTCAATTGTCAACGACACGACGGCTAACACTCAGGCCTCAGCTCAGGCTGCTCCTGAACGTCATTGTCAGACGAGGAGGTTGAAGACGAGGATGACGTTGTCGATGACGAAGAAGAGGAGCCCGAAGACGATGTCATGGCTTCGGCGGAGGCTCCAAGCTGGGAGCGGGGTGCTAAGTCGGCCAATTACAGACCCGGTTTTGGGCTCCAAAGGTGGGATCTGTCCCGGTGTACTACCGAAGGAATGCTGCAGTGTAAGTCTGTGTAAGTTTCAGGCAGATGTCTGTCCACATGTGACACATGTGATGGGAAGCTCCATCCAAGGAGTTTCCTTTAAGTTAGGATCCGCAGTCGCTGATTTTTTTTGACGATTGAAGAAGTGACTGCACCTAAGTCATCTACCGGAAATGCTAAATCATGAACTCATGACGAGTCTGAGAAGAAAGAAGCAGCATGCACGGCCGATGCTCAAGCCACGCTTCATCCATGCCAACCATGTTCACATCTCAATGGCACGGAGCACACGGTCCTCAGACGAGGAAGTCGAAGAGGATGCCGCAGGCTCCAGCCTCGACAAATCGTGCCGACAAACCAAACGGACTGCAACAATAAACACTAAGTGCATGCAGGAACATGAGAAGCACCGGGCACCGCACGTCGTCATCCAAAGTCAAACCTCCGTCGCATGGGGGGGGAACTTAAAAGGCGAACCAAGACCAGTCTCCTGAAGAGCACCGGGCGCCCCGCATCCAAATATTGCCGCAACTCATCGTCGTCGTCCATTGCCATGGTCGGGCCTCAATCAAATAACAGTGTGGCCAGCCCAAGTGCATCAGACACAGGACCAAGCACCTCGCATCATGAAACC